TTTCAGTTTGTGAAAATTAATATATGTGTTTGGGTTATTTGGTGTAAGTGTTACTTGAAGTGAAGACTTAGGTAAGAATTTTTTTTCATTTTCAGTAACATATGATTTCTAATGCAAATTTGGTGCCGAAAACCCACAACAAATTCATGAAATTTCAAACATAAGATGTCTATGATACCCATCAGCAGATGAAAAAAAACACTTGCAGAGAAACCTGTATACTTTGAGTGCTGGCTAAGCGCAAGTTCAGGTATGGGATTCAAACTTGAAGATCAAACGTATGATTTTTAACTGAGAGGTGTGGTTTCTTTTGCCTCTCAGTTCAAAGAGGAGCCATTTTCATGTTCAGAAACTCAAGTGATCCTAACTTGACAATTATTATGGACTTATGATACCAACTCTAAAAATAGGAAACTTTCGATCTGGTGTTAAACGTTAACGTTATATTATCTGGTATACTAAAAGTCAACGTTTATATGATCTTGTATACTTAAAGTCAACGTGATACAAGCAATGTGTGTGTTTTCAACACAATTATTCCATTACCAAATGAAAATGGCCAGATCAAACAACGCACAAAGAAAGATCATAAGTATAACCGGTGCACTTGATTCTTCGGGTTCGCCACACCAAAGTATATATAAAGATGGTAATTGTTATCACCTTGCCTGACATTCGGAAATGAGGGGATAAAACAAGAATTATCCTGCTCGGAGTCACAGTGATATTGTCTCTGTATTCATTTCAATTGCATTGTATCCCAATAGGAAGAAGAAGAAGAAGAAAATATAGTGCTGTATTACAAGAATAGACAATTCGTTGTTCAGGGATTTAAAATCAGCATCCGGTCATATGGCATATATGACACAAATATCACAGTTATAAAAACAAAAAAACAAAAAAAAAACATTGATATCAAAATCACACCAACACATTATCACCACAAACACACACACAAACACACACGCACACACGCACGCACGCACGCTCACACTCAAGTCCATACATTAAAACGCGTTAAATATATCAAATCAAAGCATGGAGGAGTGCGGCATGGTGCTTTATAAAATGACTATCAGTAAGTAAGAATACCATTTTGTCTATTGGTGACATAGACGGGAATAAACGATGGACACTGGTTATTTCATTTCTTTCCAAAAATTATATCAGAGGTCTGAATAATAGTCACAGTTAACCAGAAAATGTAGCAGCCAAGAGTCCCTTCAAACACCTCCCCACCTCCACCCATGCCCCCCCACCCCCTCATTCCCGTCCAAAGCCCAGACCCAACCAAACCAGGACCACACCCAACCCAACTAGCCTAACGCTTATAGTCTCTGAACGGTTTACTCCCAAAAAGTTAGACGTCCCAAAAGTCAGACGTCCCAGTTGCCAGACAAATCAATCAGGCGTGACTGTGATTACAACCTAGTCTTACCCACTGATATAATGAACTTGTCCCATACACTAACGAGATGGTTTTTACATTTGTAAAGAAATACTTTGATCAGAAGTAACAGTGTAGTGAACCTCAGTGCAACCAACCATAACCTTTGTTAACTTGTTTGAGTGGCATTTTAGAAGTTGAGACGTACAATATAGAACAAGTTTTATGGATAACAACTTCTTTATTATCCATTCCCTACATTGGTAAACCATCACACCAAATCAGCCGACTCCTGAAACAACAGGCAGGCATAGACACAACCTTCTCAGCGTCCTCCAGCCTCAACAACCTCCTCCATGCCAATGGAAGAAAACAACCCACCGTCAACAACAACAACCCAAAATGTGTTATTTACAAAATAAACTGTGATTGTGGACAATGCTACATAGGTGAAACATCCCGACCCATCAACACCCGAGTCAAAGAACATCGCACCTCTGTTGCTAATTCCGACACCAAGTCAGCTATCTCTGACCACATCAAAGCTAACCCCAATCATCAAATAGAGTGGTCCGACATCACCATTCTCGCCAACAACCAAACGGACTTCACTAAACGCAAGCTCACAGAAGCCATTCACATCAAACGCCACAAGCCCACCATCAACCGTGACCAAGGATACTTCATTCCATCAGCTTATGATCCACTCCTCCACCAAGCCCAATCTATTGTTTAAACATCTCATTGTAACTACATCTCTGGCTTCCATTCACTATCCTTTGTGTACTCACTGGCTTCTTCAGCTTACTGCTTAGCCAATCATGGCAATTATGTTGTTTCCTTTGTCTATTATGTTGTTTCATTGTTATATACAGTATATATATGCAGCGCCTACACTTCATGTATCACTCTTGCTTGACAACGGTACAAGAATCTGTATCGAAACGTCGCACTCACGAAATAAAGAAGTTGTTATCCATAAAACTTGTTCTATATCATAACCTTTGTTGTTTTAACGTGTCTAACTTTTGGGACGTCTAACTTTTGGGAGGACACCCTCTGAACACATGTAATTTTGATCGAAACAAACAATTCCTTTTATATTAAAAAGGAACCCCAGTGAGAAGGAGATTCAGAACCTGATGAAAGATAAATTAGATTTGCTTCGCTTTGCAGAAAGGGATAGAAGGCAAATAATGTGGTTCAAGGACTATGTAACAGACCCCACCATCCCAGACACATACACGTCGATATACAGGTAATAGTCTTGAATGGGACGTTAAACACCTTTACTTCTCCTCATTCTCCCACCCCTCTCTCCCACCCCAAAATCTACACACTGTGACCCTCTCACCTTATTGCTCTGTTGTGCAAACCTTACTGATGAGACTCAATTTACAACTTCCACAGTCCCTCGACCCGGTGGACTGTCCCGATATATCAATTTGTGTTATTTCACAAAACCGTTTTTACTGGTGCTCACTGTTATTATCGACATACCAGATCATGTTATTGAAGTTTATATACCTATCCTCGACAGTCTTTATTCTGTAATAGGCATTAAATTTCAAAACAAATGTACTGTAATATTTTAAACATGTGGGCACTGCTATCTTATCCCCGTTCTTCATTTGTATGTTTATTTGGGCTTCTCCGAAACACTGCACCTTTGATACGTGAATTGACATTTCACCATCGAATAACCGTTTCTTGTATGTGTTCAGTTTCAGCTTCTACCAAACTTTTGTGTATATTTTTCCTTTGCTCAGATTTTATGTCACATTTTCACAGTGAATCCAGAAAAGTTACCGTGGAAAATATATCAATATTAGTTTCATTTAGGTGTCCGTATATGTCCGTTTTGTCAGTTGCTCTCCTTAATTGATGCAAGTGTTTTGTAGCTACCAGTATCTTTTAATATTAGCTAACCCAGCAACAACACAAAGTCACAGATTTCCAAATTCAAAATATTAAATATATATTTAATATTATATATTTATAATTGTATATAATTAGGCCTATGGTTTGGGGAATTCATACAATTATATACAATGCACAGTGTTTCCCGCTTGTAACAGTTGTGGTTTGCAGAATAAGTTTTCAGTGTCGACATGAAACAAGAAATTATATTTAGGGCGGTTTGAAAGGCAATATTATTAGACGAAATTAGCAGATTTGCCAGAATATTGGAAAAAAAATATCTTACTTTTATTATGGGAAATGTTGGGGTTTATATAGTCGTTTTCAAATAAGCACCAAAAATGAGAAATCGACGTAATAAAATACTTTATCAAAGACCATATTGCCTATGAGTTTATTAATATCCGCTTCGGTTTCTCCTCCGAAAAGTCGTATCGCAGCGCACACAGCCTCTATTGTCCTGTCAGGCTTGTGACCTTCAGGCATACTTTGGACAGGCCATGCGTTTCCTATTCAAGTAGCCTACATAACAACTGACCGGGCAGGCTATTTACAACTTAACCAACAGACTGAATATGTCTATTTGAATTCTTGGAATGCAAATTATGCAATTCCACACTTCACGCTTGACAGCAGTTGAAACAGGTGCGTCACCCTCGGGCGCATGTCTTGCCATATAAGGTTGTAATGATACATTCCAAACGATAATTTGAAAGGTTTTCTATTTAATACACTGAATCAAAACTTTTACTGAAATGGCGTCTTTTGATATTACTAAAACTGTATAACAACATCACAGACTTTTTTGGGTCGATTTACATAAGAATCGTTAACGTATTTGCATGCTTAATATTTATCGATTGTAATAGATACTACTTTCCACAACATATATATTATGATGTAGCCGTCGCTGTCTTTCGACGGAAGAATTTATATTTCAATGGATTGTGTTAAGCCATCCACATTTTTTTTATGTTTCTCATCTCCAAACTGGTGCTGATGAGAATGGGGCGGGCGAAAAAAAGAAGAAAAAAATGCAGTTTGCCATCTTCTTTTCAAGCTGGTGACAGAAAATGACCCTACTACAATACTCAGACCATAAAAAGAGGCTCTTCTTATTGTGAGAATCCTTTTTTCTCAACTTTAGACAGTTCATATATCATTAGATATAAGGAAACTATATGAAATCCTGAGAGAATGCATGTATTGACTCTATTAAATATTAAATAAGTTATGACAGACTTTTCCAAATATTATATTTTAAAGGTGACCTTTAAGACACATTTTTTGTTTGATCGGGCTGAACTTATTACTGTCGGCGACATTTTGTGAAATGATTATTATTATTTTTTAATCTTGCGTCGGAAAGAAAATTTGGGTCGGTTGGGAGATGAGAAACACAGAAAAAGATACGAACGGCCTTATCGGACAACAATAATATTACAAACATTCTGTGTTATTATCATAGTTTATTATAAATGTGTGTGTTTTGCTAAAACAAAACACAGGCAATTGAGGTATAGTATTATTTGTATTCATGACTAAATTCACATTCGCAAAAAAATAAAAATTAGTCTCAGCTTTAAAAGTTTCATCCGCATGGTAGTTTTCTTTGTTCACTCTGGGCATGTAAATGTAAATATTGTTTAATATGATAAAGAATAAAACGCTCACAAAGTTTGAGATTCATCTGAAGATGCAATGCAGCCAGTCTACTGAAAGTAGTTGCGCTACAAGTAGTATATAAGAAACCTGTACATACCGGAAGTAAAGTGATTCATCCTTCATTGTAGAGTTCAAAATGGTGAGTAGAGATGTGAATTGAGAGAAAGAGATCGATTTATTACACATGTACGATCGTATTACTTTTGTCATGGAATTGCATTACGTTACATTTGCTCTTTATCTTTCTTGTAGGCGAAACTTTCAGAAGATCAGATTGTTGGTAAGTAGACACCCATCATTCGAACTGTGACTTGTCAAGGGCTTGTCAACAGTTGCAAATATCTAGGCCGCCTTTTTATACAGGAAAGTTAATAAGACTTTGATGAGGGAATAGCGTTATATCAAAGTAATAATGTATTCTAATGCTTCAACTGGCACTATCGATGAGAGATCGCATGTTAGATAAAAGTTAATATCGATACGTGTCAAAACAAATAAACTGAATAAAGGTGGAAGAGAGACCACACCCATTTCCTTGTGCAGACAATCCTCACCATCATAGGCGGATCCAGGGGTTGGGGGGTAGGTATGCAGTGGTGCTCACCCCACTTTTGCCCTGAAAGTTTATTAATTGACCATTGAAACTCGGGTGAAAATGAAGTGTGCACCCCACCTTTTCTCAATAGTGTGCACCCCCCCTTTCTCAAAAAGCTGTTTCCGCCCCTGCCCATCATCATGGATATGTGTTTTGGGTAAGAGTTCCTCCCGTTCCCCCATCCCAAATAATATTTATTCTTTAATGTACTAAAATTATTAACAAAACCTAACACAACAATTACTTGAGAATGCACAAAAGTAACTAAAACCCCCAAATTAATTACAATATATAGGGTTGAACCACCTTGCGTTACCTCTGTTAATCAGTTACCCAAAAAATATTGGGAAACGGAAAGGAACTCTTTCCGTAAGATGAATTCCATGATATTGCATTTGGAAAGTGCCCTCTCAAAGTGCTGGAAAATAGATTCCTGCCTCATAGTACAAAGTACACAATTGTGTTTGGCATTTGGAAAGCTAAATGTATGTATTTTGCAGAAATCCAGGAGACTTTCAACCTGTTTGACCAGCGGGGAGACAACAAGATAGCAGCCCACCAGCTGGGAGATGTTCTCCGTGCCCTCTCACAGAACCCCACAGAGAGTGAAATAAAGAAATGTGGATATGCTTCCAACCCAGGTACAATACTTACATTCACAAAGTACTGTGAATATCAGTTGCGTTGTGCGACTGTTATGTAGTGTGTTTTTTTAAGACATCGTCTCTGTAACACTGGATAAACTTTATAAGTTGCAGTTGCTAGATTGATTTTAACATGATGACTACTGAGGTTTGAAAATCTTGCGTATGACTTTCAGAGAGGTGGTAGTCATTCTAATCAACCTGTAATTTTATGCCGTGAGATAACTTGTATATTTCAATTGTCACGAGTGAGTTTATTTCTCCAAAACAAATTTCTATTTAATTGCAGACTATGTGCCAAAATGTTCATGGTATTGTAAGACCCTAGCAAGCAGTAACATCACAAGTTTTTTCAGTTCAATTTATTTTAGCGAACTCAGTCCAAACAATTCTCCTTAGGGTAACTTGCTGCTATTAGCATCAGAACAACCATGCAACATTTAGTAATTTCCTCTGTTTACTTCCTGTTGGTTCTGATGATTGCCAGCTGTAAATATCATAGTAAACATCAGCTAAAAATGTTTACGGTATGCATTGACTTAGATTGGTACAAAACATGAGTGGAAATAATTTTGAAATGGTTTATATCAGAAACATAATGAATAGTTCTAAAATGTATTTTTGCAAAGCAGGTATAAGTATATTATGATCATGATGCTTCTTTCGCCTGGTGGGCGGTGGGGTAGCCTGGTGGTTAAAGCATTCGCTCGTCACGTCGAAGACCGGGTTCGATTCCCCACATCGATACAATGTGTTTCTGGTGTTCCCCTGCGGTGATATGGCTGGAATGTTGCTAAAAGCGGCATAAAACTACACTCAGTCAGCAGTCGTTCGTCTGGTTGAAGTAGGATAACTCCATAGATTGTTGGAGGGAGTGGGTTGTACAGTCTCCTCGTGTCGCAATTCACTTTGCAGTGTTGAGTCCATTGGGCTTACCAGAAACCTAGGATTGTGGGATTTATTCATAGTTTGCCCCCACGAGTTTCTACATTTGTCGCCACCATACCCATGAACTTGAGTTTCACCAAACTGGCCAAGGTGCAGGAACTGCATCACTTTCTGTTTTTCCCCCTGACATGAAGTTGACAACCAGTTAAATAACTGGAATACTTACCAAAGTGGCATAAACCCAACTCTCGGTCTACTACTTTTTAAACTGGTTCAGACAAATAGTTAACATTATACCTTGCCTCACAACGTTAAAATAAGGTACTTGTTGGTCCCTGCCTGGCGCTCGGCATTAATGGGTACAACAAGGACTGGTCGGCTCGAGTCAGTATAATGTGTCTGAGTGGGGTATTCATGCTTCACTGCGGCATGGTATCTCAGTGGGCTAGCACTATAAAACCAGCTTAAGTCTGGGCTAGTACAAGCAGCCGCACATACACATGCATGCATGTTGTCATATGAGCGAAATATTCTCAAGCACGACGTTAAACCCAATTTCACCTCACCTTGCCTCACAGCAGTTTGATCTGAACATTTCAGATGCCCGCATCTCCTTCGAGGTGTTCCTCCCCATCTGGCAAACAGTCTCCAAGAACCGCACGGTCCCGCCACTAGAAGACTTCATCGAAGGGTTCCGGGTGTTCGATAAGGATCAGAACTTCTACATCTCCAGTGCTGAATTGAGACATATACTCACGTCACTAGGTAATTGCAGAGCTCCAGATAATTGTTTTGCAATCTGGATATTTTACCCATGGTGTCTGTTATAAATGGGTACTGCTGATCTTCAGTGGGTACTTAAATTTTCCGATACCCACCCTTTTTTTAATGGTTATTTTCTATGTCAGTAATTTAAAAAATGTTAAAAAAGATAACTACAGTGGAAGCCCTCTAAACTGATAGCCCACTAATCCGGCATGCTGTCTATATCGGCACTAGCATTTGGTCCCGGCAGAAGTTAGTTAATTTATGATCATTTACATTCCCTCTAATCCGGTGTCAGTCTGTTCCGTATTTCAGCACAATAAAGACCTCTCAATTGACTGTTGTACAGTAATTAATAGTGGTGGTCTGATTAATTGAAATAATCGAAGATTGGTCGCAGTGACTAGACGACCAAGCAATTAATCATGTTTTCTCATAATCGAACACAAACAATTCTTGAACACTTGTTTTTATCAACAATATTTTTCACAAGGTTGGTTTTGTCTGTTACATTTCATAAGCACTACAAGCTTGTTCCAAGTCATCAATGAATTTATCTTAAAGACATCAAGAAATTTATGTTCCTAACATACTAGTCATCCTTTAAAGATGTGAAATTTTACCCAAAAAAAACCCCAAAATAAGTACATGTTTTTTCCATATATTTTTGTGCATCAACAAATTTCATAAATGACGCTCACCAATTATTTTCGATGATTGATCGGTGGTAATGAACCAATTCCAAACACTAGTAATTAACGCTCTTTAAACCGGTATCCGGTATCTTGGCTCTCCTGTTAAATGGCTGATTGGCTAAAAGGTGTATTAACAACAAAGTAGTTTACAATCAGCATTAAGCTCATTGATGTTGTCTGATAAAAGGAGTATGGATAAGGATTAGGCCTAAGTAGGTGAGGTAAATTGGTGAGTGACACGTGTCATTTGTATTATAAATTACTGTAATTGTCGTGTGAGTGAAAACAGTAAATTTGACAAAATTAACACACTGACGCATGATTGTTTTTTGACTGCATGCAGTAAAAATATGCCCATTTCTGGCCGTTTTGAAAGAGAAAGCTATATTCAGTTTGCTCCAGAATTAAATGTCAACGAGTTTAAGCAGGTCAAAGAGGCACACGGAAGATCATTCTCAGGTTGAAAAGGGAAACTTTCTCTAAACCGTCACGCCCTCTATACCGACATTTTTGCCAGTCCCACCGAATGCCGGTTTAGAGGGCTTCCACTGTATAGCCAATTGTTTCTCCTTAGACATTAACATGGTCATTGTTTAAAGACAAATACATGTCATATCTGATCGTTTAGACATCTGAATACTTGGGGTACCATCACTAGCCCACACACTTGTAAGGGACAAACTTATCTTTGCCGACTGACAATAAGTCTCCGAGTTATAATTGGTCTACAGCATCCCATGCTTGTCATAAGAGTTGACTAATGGGATCGGGTGGTCAGGCTTGCTGACTTGGTTGACACAAGTCATCGTATCCCAATTGCGTATATCGATGCGCATGCTGTTGATCACTGTCTTGTCTGGTGTAGACTCCATTCTTTACAGACTGCCACCATATTGCTGTGTGCGGCGTAAAACTAAGCTCACTCACGCACTCACTCACAGGGAAAGGAATGTAATGTAATGTCAGCTCCTGATGCATTTTAGCTGACTGAAGAACGATCATGGAATGTGATGGATCAGACCAGGTTGATAGTGGGTCATGTAACATGATGATCTTTATCTCTCATCTAAAGTATAGACATATGGCCACATTGTAACAATTAATATCTAATTTTAATGTCATGCTGTATAGAATGGGCTCAGAATGAAAACGTTTCCTCAAGCATGTCCAGGGTTTGTATGATGATGGAAGGGAGATAATTCAGTGCTTAATGCAAGATAGATCATTATGCAACAACCATTACGTGTGCGTGGCTAAGGTTCAGGTTTGGTTGTGGGGGTACGATGACATGTGTCAACCAAGTCAGCAAGCCTGACTACCTGGTCCTGTTAGTCAAGCCTCTTACGACAAGCATGGGTTGCTGAGTTTCAATTATTTACTGATATGTCCCATTGCTGAAGTGTTGCTTTCAAGTACAACTTGTTATGGTCATTGTCAGTGAGAAATCTCCCCTGTATGAGTGATTGTCTGTATTTTGACAGCTGGGGACCGCCTCTGTGGTGTAGTGGTTAGAGTGTCCGCCCGAGAGCGTAAGGTTTTTTGGTTCGATCCCCGACCGCTTCATACCAAAAGACGTTAAAATATGGTACTTGTTGGTCCCTGCCTGGTGTTCGGCATTTAATGGGTACAAGGACTGGTCGGCTCGGAGTCAGTATAATGTGTCTGAGTGGGGTATTCCTGCTTCACTGCGGCATGGTATCTCAGTGGGCTAGCACTATAAAACCGGCTTAAGTCTGGGCTAGTACAAGCAGCCGCACATACACATACACACGCATGCACGTTGTCATATGAGCGAAATTTTCTCAAGCACGACGTAAAACCCAATTTCACCTCACCTCACTTGACAGCTGGGGGAAGGGAGAAGGGCTTGAACTTGAGGCTTATGGCTGGGAGATATATTGTATTATCTGTAGTGAGCACCCTGGGTGGTTAAAAATTTATGTCACATCTATTGATTTTGTTACTTATTTTGGGGATCCAGGAATAGTCAGTTGCTTGTTGTTTGTCTTAGACTAATGGAATAGTACCTGTTTCCATCCCAGATGAAACAAAGGTACCACTGTCTCAGGTGAAACAAAGGTACCACTGTCTCAGGTGAAACAAAGGTACCTCTGTCCCAGGTGAAACAAAGGCACCTCTGTCCAAGTTGAGACAAAGGTACCTCTGTCCAAGTTGAGACAAAGGTACCTCTGTCCAAGTTGAAACAAAGGTACCTCTGTCCCAGGTGAAACAAAGGCACCTCTGTCCAAATTGAAACAAAGGCACCACTGTCCCAGGTGAAACAAAGGCACCTCTGTCCAAGTTGAAACAAAGGCACCACTGTCCAAGTTGAAACAAAGGTACCACTGTCCCAGGTGAAACAAAGGCACCTCTGTCCAAATTGAAACAAAGGTACCACTGTCCCAGGTGAAACAAAGGTACCACTGTCCCAGATGAAACAAAGGCACCCCTGTCCCAGATGAATCAATTCTGACTGTTCCATGTCTTACTTTGAGGATAAGATATGTGTCACATCCCATCACTGGAGGTGAATCTGTGTTGCAGGGGAGAAGCTGACAGACGATGAAGTGGATCAGCTGTTCCAGGGACAGGAAGACGCACAGGGAAACATCAACTATGAAGGTAAGGAAACAGTGCCAGTTGACACTCGTCAAACAAGGGTACAAAAATACATGATCTTGACTACCAGTTGTCAGACTTCCAGTTTTGTAAAAATTCTGTAGCTGAGTTGGTGAGATGGCTGACTTTGTGTGCCCGACTGAGGGTTGGTTCAAATCCTGGATAGGACTCAACCCCCTCAATTACAACTTACTTAGCATCCCAAATATAACATGTTATGTCATACTGTTATTGTTTATAAAAAATGAACTATGCTTCTGTGTTCATAAGCATCTGCAAGTTAGTTGGGTAATTTGATTTCTGTTGCATATTCTATGCACATACACAGTGTATGTGGAGCTGTTGTGAAGGGCGGTGGGGTAGCCTATTGGTTGAAGCATTCGCTGGTCATTCTGAACACCCAGGTTCAATTCCCCACATGTACAATGTGCGAAGCCTATTTCTAGTGTCCCCTGCATGATATTGCTGAAATATTGCTAAAAGCAGTGTCAAACTAAACTTCCTCTGCTGTTTTGCATATATACCTGTGTTTTCACTACACATTTTATTTGTTTGCAGAGTTCATCAAGATGGTCATGAATGGATGAAGTTCTGTGGATCCTTGTTGAAGATCAAAGCCAACACCATGTCGTTACAGTTTTGACATCAACTTTTAAAATCAACTGAGATACATTTATGGGCATTGTGAAGACTTTGAATCTTTTGTAAATACTTGAACTGTGAAACAAGAAAAGTATCAGCCCTTTATCTTCAACTCATTACATTTTTATGTAACGAGACAATCTGGCACAAAAACCTTGGTCATTTCTGTTAATTTTTGTCAGTTATCATGCCCAAAGATGAATTTTTGTCTTGTTAATGAAATCATACTGTTGATACATAACTTGAGTATGTTTTCAAGAACCTCTGCTATCTGGCTTTAACTGATTTTCTTGTTTTGCTGTTTACGCTAGCTTCGTGTTCATTATACCACCATTTATCACTTATGCTTATAACTTCCACATGCAAGACACTATACTTTTTCCCAAACGTACAATTTTAGTACAACCTTTCAAAATCGACATACATTGTATTACAGATACATTTACCGTATGAATCTTTGAAGAGACATCCTAATCACGTCTCCATTTAATCATGATTTGTGGGATAGGATCAAGAGTTTCATTGTATACTGTGTCCCATGTTATGGATGAGATACTTTCAGTGTTCTGTTTTGATGTGATGGCTAGTGGAGTATTGGGACAAACAAAAGAATTCTCTTTTTGAAAGAACCTTAACTTCAGAAATTTCAGATTCTTCATTTATAAAAGTATACAAGTTGAAGAGATAGGTTAGGAAACATTATATACACATTTAATGCTATATTTATACCTGGTATATATATCATTCCATACAATCGTAGATGAAAGAATAAACGCATTATAAGAAGAATGTTTTTGTGTTTCTTTGGTATTGTATTCTGATCCAAGACAATATCAACATTAGGAGTTCTTGCTCTTTTAGGACATGCTCACTGTGATAGTAAATATACTGAGGAAAAAAAATAATGGAACACAAGAAAATTCAAGGGTTCCTTTAATGTTTTCCAGTTTTCATCACCAGCTTTGAATAGCGCTGTGGGAGGAATCTGAAAATAACTAAAGGAACACTGCCATGAAGTGCTGTTCCCTTATTTGTTTCCCTCAGTATATATTATAAATCTTGGGAAATCCTCTTTTACTGCATCTGTGTTGAGTCTGAGGTAACCCGTGAAAATCCGGATTTGAATGGGCTTCACACATTGTACCCATGTGGGGAATCGAACCAGGTCATTGGCGTGACGAGCGACGCTTTAACCTCTAGGCTACCCCACCGTCCCCTTCTGACACTGAAACCTTATGTGCATGTCTTTTCTACTTACGATAATTGAGCGTTTTATTGATTATCGATCATGCCACTCATCCGTCGTCACTCGCCCCTTTCGAGTTGCATCCCACGCTTTGCACATCACAACAACGTGACGAAAAATTGATTTTCTTCATGACACCATTCAACATAAACTAAAAAATAATAAACATTATTATTAAACATTGTTACTCAGATTTGCGATTTGATTTACGAATATATTGCTTGAATTGAAAACCGTGTGAAAAACGTGATGTATGATTTGCTCATGGTCGTATAGTGTGTTTTAAAAGTTTGATTTACGAAAATATTGCTTGAAAAACGTGATGTATAATTAGCTCGAGTCATAGTAGTATGTGTTTTAAAGTATCAATTTACAGGATGTAACACAAACGTAACATACACTATCTTATACGACAGAGGCCTCATACTATAAAAAAAAACCGTGGATTTGGAGTAAGAATTGATCCCCCGCAACCAAATATACACATGGCAAGAAGTATCGCAGCACCCCATATATTTCATGGAATCATTTTTCATGTTAAATCATTATACTGTCAGACCTCAATTTAAAATTCAATCTGGATAAGTTAACCCGCTAGGAACAACTAAATCGCAAATTTAAACGGAAGAAATACGAAAAACTGAGAAGACTGAGACTTATTCAGAGAAGCAAATGTGGAAAAAGACTAAATTTGTAGCACTGTTAACTATGGTCGTACATCATATAATACCAACAACTAAACACAATGTCAGTATCTGGTGTAACCTACTCCAACTGCAATAGCATCCCTTACCCTCCTCCTCATTGACGTTGAATTTGACGTTGCGTTCCGTTCTTGGAGGAGAGCCAATACGTCGAGATTTTGTACTGGAGGATCTCTCTGGCGTATTGTGCCACCTATTATGTCCCAAACATGCTCCATGGGATTGAGTTGTTCACTTCTGGTTAAGGTAAAGTTGCTATCGACTCTTGACGAAAGAGATCACCAACGACACTTGCACGATATGGCCGAGCATTGTCGTCCATGAAGACAGGCCTTGTGTTCAGAAGGTGGTCATCAAAATGTGGTGCAACAACCCTGTCTAGGATGGCAGCGATGTACCGTTGTCAATTTAGATTTTTTCAGATCGTCACAAGATCCAGTTTACAGTCATGTGAGGGGCACCCCCACACCATCAACCCAGCCAAACGTACGTGCTCCAAAAAATTCCGTTGTGCATATGCAATGTTTCTGCGTAAAAGTCATGAAACAGAAATCTACCGGTATATACTTTTATCCGACCCTTCCCCATAACGAAGAATGAGAACAGTTTTATGGATAATGGCACTTGCTTAACAACGACATTAGAATCTATGTCGAAACGTTGCTTACACAAAATAGAGAAGTTGTATATCCATAAAATTGTCCTCATTCTTCATCTCCTCAACTTCAAGAATGAAGTCAAAGAAGACTTCCCTATGACGTCAAAATAAAGTGACGTCGAGCTTATCGAATTGTCCGAACAGTTCATATTGGCTTGATGACAGGTACACTTATTGCACGTGATGCTTGCCTTTAATCGCAGCACATGCATATCTAAAATCAATGTACGGTGCTCCCGAAGGGTCAAAATAATCAAACACAAACAAATGTGATCATGATATGAATATAAATGGCTATGGGGGTTAAAATTCATATTTGTTGCGTAACTTTTTCCATGCGCATATACCGGATTGTCGGATCAGTGGCTTGATCGACTGCGTGTCGTATTACCCCGACAGCATACCCATGATCTCGATCACCTGTTTGTCTGGTCCAGACTTAGTTGTTAAATCTCATATAGTTGAAGGTTGGTAGAGGGGTTAGATAAGAAACAAATATAAGGAATATTAGTGGACATAACCTAGTGTGTATAAGTTGGGAAAATATATTATACATACCAGGGGTGCCGTTGTACAAGCAACTTCAGCGCTCCGACTGTCGTAAGTCTATGTTAAGGTAAGAGAGTTAATCTTAGCCTAAGATCTCTTATTCAACGGCACCCAGGTTAGTAGTTTCTGAAGCAAGTGAGTGAGTTAGTGTGGTTTTACGCCGCTTTTAGCAATATTCCGGCAACATCACAGCGGGGGACACCAGAAATGGGTTTCACACATTGTACGCATGTGGGGAATCGAACCCGGGTCTTCGGCGTGACGAGAGAACACTTTAACCACTAGGCTACCCCACCGCCCCTCTGAAGCACTAGCCTAAACTCTTTGTTGTGGCAGGCTCAAGTCACCTGACCGTCACATAGCCAGAATAGACAGACAGACGGACGGACAGATACACAGACAGATCTTTTCTCCGTATACGGTGACCACGGTCGAATGCTATAAGTAAAATCTGTCATGTATTTTTACCTTGGAAGGAATATCCAATTAGGCACAAATAAATCATTCCGATATTGTTGCATCATGGCAGGTTTAAAGGTTTGTTGTCCACGACGCATGTTTACTTCCATGTCGCAAACACACAAAATATGATTAAAAACCCTCTTCTACACGCTGCCATTGGCTGGATCTGCTGACAAAGCATTCCTGGACATGCACTGTCGCCCACTCGTTATTTAAAGCATCCCTAGACAAATTAGTACATGTATACCTCTCACTTGCTGGAGCATCTCGCGACCAGTCAATACCGCCCGCACGGCACACGCTAAACCATCCCACATCTCTCACTGGCTAAAGCACCCCTCGACAAACCAACATCTCTCTCACTGCCTATAAAGCACCCCTCGACAAACCAACATCTCTCACTGCCTATAAAGCACCCCTCGACAAACCAACATCTCTCACTGGCTAAAGCACCCCTCGACAAACCAACATCTCTCTCACTGCCTATAAAGCACCCCTCGACAAACCAACATCTCTCAGTGGCTAAAGCACCCCTCAACAAACCGGCTTCTCTCACTGGCTAAAGCGCCCCTCGACAAACCAGCATCTCTCACTGGCTAAAGCACCCCTCGACAAACCAACATCTCTCTCACTGCATATAAAGCACCCCTCGACAAACCAACATTTCTCACTGGCTAAAGCACCCCTCGACAAACCAACATCTCTCACTGGCTAAAGCACCCCTCGACAAACCAACATCTCTCACTGGCTAAAGCACCCCTAGACAAACCAACATCTCTCTCACTGCCTATAACGCATCCCTCGACAAACCAGCATATTTCACTGGCTAAAGAACCCCTCGACAAACCAACATCTCTCACTGCAAATCAACATATAAAGCCCCCTCGACAAACCAACATTTCTCACTGGCTAAAGCACCCTCGACAAACCAACATCTCTCACTGGCTAAAGAACCCTCGACAAACCAACATCTCTCACTTGCTAAAGCACCCCTCGACAAACCAACATCTCTCACTGCCTATAAAGCCCCCCTCGACAAACCAACATTTCTCACTGGCTAAAGCACCCCTCGACAAACCAACATCTCTCACTGGCTATTTTAATGCACCCCTCGACAAATCAACATCTCTCACTGGCTAAAGCACCCTCGACAAACCAACATCTGTCACTGGCTAAAGCACCCCTCGACAAATCAACATCTCTCACTGGCTAAAGCACCCCTCGACAAATCAACATCTCTCACTGCCTATAACGCACCCCTCGACAAACCAACATCTCTCACTGGCTAAAGCACCCTCGACAAATCAACATCTCTCACTGCCTATAACGCACCCCTCGACAAACCAACATCTCTCACTGGCTAAAGCACCCCTCGACAAACCAACATCTCTCACTGCCTATAACGCACCCCTCGACAAACCAACATCTCTCACTGGCTAAAGCACCCATCGACAAATCAACATCTGTCACTGGCTAAAGCACCCCTCGACAAACCAACATCTGTCACTGGCTAAAGCACCCATCGACAAATCAACATCTGTCACTGGCTAAAGCACCCCTCGAAGCATTCGAGACCAACTCGAGCATTCTTCTCGGCGGGTGGTGACGAAAGCTTGCAGTTTACGAAAACGGGAGATCAACATGATAAAACTAATCTAACACTTAATCTCTTAATATATATAATTCAGATAAACAGTTAAATTGAAAAGGAGCCCAAGTGAGCTCAGAGATTCAGAACCGGAGTAAATCTAGACTTGCTTCATATAGAGCTTTTATCCTGCAGAAAGGGCAGGGCGGAAGAGAATATCATGTGGTTCAGGGACTGTGAGACAGACTATGCAGAAACGAAAACGAATAATTACGAATAGTAGGTACAGAACTTGTAGGGGTATATTGTGCTGAAAACCTAAAACCGATTGGGCGAATATCTTTGGATTTGATCTCACGTTCATATCAGTGTGAGAAATAGCCATTAGCCTGCTAAGCCCGTCGCTAGTAAAACTCCAGTCGGGCCAGTAAATCTCCACAGTCACTGGCCCGACTGTCTAGTGAATTTTTATGGGGTCATTTGGTAAATATATCACTCTCTCCGACTTGTTAAGTTATAAGACACTTTTAAATCATGCATGATTATGGCCTGATAAAAATGACCGTCATATCAGCAGCTTAA